ACCTGGGGTGCCCCGGCAGGGGCGGCGGGGGCTGGCTCCGGGGCCTTGGTGCCCGCCGCCAGCTCGGTGGAGCCCGGGGAGTCCTCGCTCCTGGCCTGCTCCGGGGACAGCCCGTCGTTGCTGCTGTCCTCCTCGAAAGCGAAGGCATCAGCCGACTTGGGGAAGCTGACCTGGGTGCCTGGCGGGGGAGAGGGGGTGACGGTCAGGGCCCTGCACTGGGCAGGGGGGACGAGCCTGACGGCGGGAGGGACGGGGTGAGCCACGTGGCAGGCCTCCGTGCCTGCGCCCAGCTCCTGCAGAGCTGGCCGTGGGCGAAGGACGTGGTGCTCAGAGAGCTCGGACGCCTCCCCCCGTCGCCAGCCATGCACAGGGGCAGCGCCTGGCTGTGCCCCCGTGGCCGAGGCTGGTGGGCGAGGGGCTGGCGTCGGCTCCTGGCCTGTGCCGTGGACCGTGTTACTTGGGAGCGGGAGAGAGGAGGCGTCCGAAGAGCCTGGCCTGTCGGGGCAGGGGGCTTTCTGCAGGCAAGTGGGGCTGGCGCAGGGGTGGCTCTGCTATCTTGCCCCACCGCTGGGCTGAGCTGGGGAGAGGGGTGTTAGCGTCGCCCTCTCCACCAGCTGAGCACCCCAACCACAAGCCCACACCACGCCTGGGATCGTGTCCTCAGCAGAAGAACTGAGGTTGAAATCCACCCGGAGGGTGACCCATCCGTTCATGGCACAAGAGCCAACGTGAGTGGACCTGGCTGCAGCTGAATAGAGGCTTCCAGATCCTGTCTCTGTCCACAGGCTTCACCCGCACGACATGCTTCAAACCACCACCATTGCCTCCCTGACGGCCCCAGACATTGCTTCTTTCCCCCTGCAAAGCTCCCGGCACCCTATCTCCTAGTCAGATGGGCAAGAGCTCTTGACCCCCAGCTTTTGCTGATAAATAAAGTGCTGAAAAAAAAAAAAGGTCTCATGTGAGTCTCAGGAGGGCTGCAGGTCGGGGTAGAGGAAGGAGCAGCGCAGCCACGCTCGTAATCTCCTCGTGCTCATGTCTGGCATTTGTCAGGCAGCCTGGCATGCCGATAGCGAGGTGACAAATGGGGAAATAGGAAGGGCCCAGGGACAAGCTTCCACCTGTCCCTGCTGCCGGTCTAGCAATGTGCGCCTTCTCACCGACACGCACTCTCCTGCTCTGACCCCTGCCCCTATCTGCAAGATAAGGGTTATCTTTGCTTGCTCCGGCTTGTGGTGCCAGGGTGGGTGAGGAAGCAGGGAGCCCTGGCTCCCTGTCCCAAGCTGCTGCCCAGCCACCATGTGGGGTGGGGATATGAGATACTGTGTCCTGTGGAGACCCTCTCCTCCCTGCCCTCCAGGGCACGGGGCTCCTTATATGTCCCTGGAAATAGGGCCTGTCCCCTCTCTCTCAGAAACAGCACCCAAACTGGGTCTTCCCTGAGGAACTGCAGCACTGCATGGTCTACCACCTGGGCTGGGTGGGAGCTTCTCCCCATGCCTGCAGACTAGCGTGGGCATCCTCTCTCTGGAAAAATGACACCAAGCAAGGGGGACTTGTGGATCTGCAAGAGTCCCGCTGGGCTGACATTTAATAAGCATGCATGGAGAAGTGGTGCCAAAACCAGGAGCCCAAGGGACCTTCAGGACACGGTGGCAGCCCAGAGCATGACAGGAATGTGCTGCATCCTGCTGCTTGATACCACGGGCCTGTGCCGGCTGGGGAATGCTGCCCTTATCTGTCCTGCTCTCACCCAGCCCGGGGCTGACCGTATTGTTTCACGATCCCATGTCTCTGCTGTAATCTCAGGCAGAATGGTGTTTGCTCGGGGCTGTTTCTAATGCACTGGGTATTGTCCTCTCAAGCGTATTGGACAAAGTGATGACAAGGACCTGGTAAAAAAGGGTTCTTATATCACTGCTCAGCTATGTAGGGCACTGGCGGCCTCCTGTCACTGGGACGTTAGGGCTTTCGGTTGGGGTCTGGCACTTTCTGCTCACCCTGCCGGAGGTGATTAGAGGAACACGTCAGCTGAACTTTCCACTGTATAAACAGTTGAGATTCCAAGGTTAAAGTAAAATGATTTTAAACCCTGTCATCTTTCTGGTATTGCAAAAACAAAAGGCTTAATGTTCAGCAGTGCCAGTGCTCATCTCTGCTCTGTGTTCAGCCCTTCACCCTAAATTATGAGCACCACAAGGTGCCTCTGACTCCAAAAATCAGCTTGAGGAGCTGTCAGCCTGGGGCTTCAAAGATGAGAGCTGCGAAACGCTGGACACGGAGCAGCTCAAGGGTCAGACTGGAGAAGCCGCTGTACGTATGCTGCTTACACTTCACAGTGGGAAAACCAAGAGCAGGAACAATTGCGGGGTAGGACAGAGCAGTATCTGAGCCTGGAATATTTCATGTCATTTATGCTGGTTTCTGAGATGAAATGAAAGTCAAAGTGCTTCCTGTTTCAATTCCCACTTTCAGCATCACTCCTGTCATTCAAAGACCCCTCCCTCCTGTCCCAGAGCCCTGCCACTGTCCCCAGTTTGCTCTGAGCCCCAGAACAGGCACTTAACATGGAATTATGCCAATGGAAATAATCCTATGAATTGAGGAACCTGGAGCAACAGAACAAGCAGTTCCTAGGGGGCAGAGCATCTCTCAGTGCCTCACTAGAGACCCGAGGGCCAATTTGGACATGGAGAGATGGCCCCAGGCTTCAAAAATACGGGCTGCTGTCTTGGCACTGCAGGACCCTGCTGGCTTTCCTGCTCCTTTCTCTGCTTTTGGACCTCCCTGTCCTGGCACTGGGCCCTGGTGAAATCTGAGTCACCTTTTTGCTTTGTGTCAGCTCCCACACCAGCCTCCCTGTGGCAGTATGGGGGAAATAATTGCGGAGGATTCTGCTTCCCTCCTCTGGCTGGCGGGTAGGTGATGGAGGAAAACCAAGTTTAGGCATAAATCAATCACTGGGTACTGGTAAGTAGGAGTGTACCCTGCTTTGGGGTGCAGGCTACTTCTCATACTCCCCAGCAGTCTAGCACCCCCGGGATGCTTCCCTACCCCAGCAATGCACCATCCTGCTCTGTTGGGCCTTGCACACCACTAGCATCATTGGAAAAAAAAAAAGACAACTGCAGCCTCGCTGAACTGGGGCCACTTCACCCCCACCTACTGGGATGTAGAAGCTTGGCAGGGCACAACTGGGAGAATCCAGGCTGGCCTCACAACCACACATGTGCACCCAGGTCCTCTCCCACGCAAGGGAGGAAGGAATGTCCTGTCTCCAGTAGTATCATTTATGCACTCAAAGCCATGGGGAGGGAAGGGGTTTAAGAAGGGATGCTCTTTCTGAGGAGACATGGCTGAGCAATTCTGCATGTTTCAGTAGTATTGCTCTAAGAAGATGAGAGCTCTCTTTTCATAGGTCTGGATAAGATAGCACGGGCTGTGCTGGACTGCGCTGATTACTGTGAAAATAACAAAATTTAAGCAATAAAAGCAGCTCTTAAGTCCAGGTCGGTTACTTCCTGCAGTCACTGTTATACATCCTCGTAACCTCTTGCCAGCCCCTGTCCCATGCCATGCATACAACATAACATGCACGTTCACTTCCACTACCTTTTATGGCCTCTTTCACAGCTGAGTCGACAGGAATAATATTCTTCTCCACCAGCTCCAAAGGACCCGGCCTGAGAGCAATCTTTTCATTGAGATCATCTGCCAGTCGGGCTCTTTTCAGCTTCATTTGAGTAGACTGAATGGACCCTTCTGCAGCTGAGTCTAAAAGGCCAAATGGAAGGTGTCAGTTCAGGACCTGGGGCATCTGTAAGCACAGTGCCCAGCAAGAATGTTCTTCCCCTCCAGCACAGCCTTTCTGGGCTGTGGCCAAAACCTAAGCGTGGCTCAGTGCACAGCAGGAGCTGCTCTGGGGCTGGGAGGATGGGTCTGGTGGGGTTTGGGACATGGGTCTTCCTCTGACCCTTAGTTCCAGGTTCTCCATTCCCAACCAAGAGCCTCTGTCTACTAGCCTAGGCTTGCAAACACAGACTGCAGCTGGAGCATTCTCCCCAAGGCCCTGCAATGGAAATTTCATTAACAAGCTGTGACTAACATAAGAGCCAAAGTGGACTCCAGCTCCTGCCTGCTAGGAGCCCATTGGCCCTTGTGATCCCTACTTCTGGGCAACAGCTGGAGAAAAGACCCATTAACAGTGTTAGACAACTGGAGTAAATGGCTTACACTGCAAGATCAAAAGCTGAGTCTTTGGGAGTGGACATTTGGAGATGGAGTGATTACAGTGCTCCAGGCCTTCAGGAGAAAAACAAGCTGGAGAGGAGCATAACAAAGGCAGCTAGATCTGGAAACTACAGGCCTACCAAACCCAGCTGAGAAGTCCCCAATTATCAAGTGGTGACAGAAGAGCAGCCAATTAAACAGAAAGGTTTCCTGAACAAAGTTGATCTGGCTTCTCTGGTGGCACAGACATGAGTAGTGAGGGAGTGGGATTCTAAACTAGACCATGTCTATACCTTTGGGGGTCTAAAGTAAGAAGGGCTGCATCTAGGTTGTGCTGTCTTCAAAGAATGGACACTTCTAGAAGATATACTGTAGGCAACACAAGCTACAGGGTTTGATAGCAGGGAAAAAATCTCTGCAGGAGGTCAGGAGAGCTGATCTAGGGTCACTTCAGGCCTCAGACTATAGGGCAGTGAACATAGAATCATAGAACCTCAGAATCATAGTCATAGAATGGTTTGGGTTGGAAGGGACCTTAAAGATCATCTAGTTCCAACCCCCCCGCCATAGGCAGGGACACCTTCCACTAGACCAGGTTGCTCAAAGCCCCATCCAACCTGGCCTTGAACACTTCCAGGGATGGGGCAACCACAGCCTCTCTGGGCAACCTGTTCCAGTGCCTCACGACCCTCACAGTGAAGAATTTCTTCCCTACATCTAACCTAAATCTACCCTCTTTCAGTTTAAAGCCATTACCCCTTGTCCTACCACTACATGCCCTTGTAAAAAGTCCCTCTCCAGCTTTCTTGTAGGCCCCCTTTACGTACTGGAAGGCTGCTATAAGGTCTCCCCAGAGCCTTCTCTTATCCAGGCTGAACAACCCCAACTCTCTCAGCCTGTCTTCATAGGAGAGGTGTTCCAGCCCCCTGATCATCTTCATGGTCTTCCTCTGGACTCGCTGCAACAGGACGATGTCCTTCTTATGTTGGGGGCCCCAGAGCTGGATGCAGTACTCCAGGTGGGGTGTCACGAGAGCAGAGCAGTGGAGGCGAATCACCTCCCTTGACCTGCTGGTCACACTTTTTTTTGATGCAGCCCAGGATACGGTTGGCTTTCTGCACTGTGAGCCCACATTGCTGGGTCATGTTGAGCTTCTCATCAACCAACACCCCTAGGTCCTTCTCCTCAGGGCTGCTCTCAATCCATTCATCACCCAGCCTGTATTTGTGATTGGAATTGCCCCAACCCATGTGCAGGACCTTGCGCTTGGCCTTGTTGACCTTCCTGAGGTTTGCACGGGCTCACATGAGCTCCTTGAAGTGAACAGTAACAGAAGGTGTGCCTGTAAGGCATTTAGATGAGGCAACGTGTCTCAGCTGGCCAATTTCAATCAATCACCACTAGGTCCTGTTATGAACCAAATGGACACGTAAGTCCATGATATGCCAGGGCACACCCCCATGAAATGCAGAGTATGATGGACATAGCTGTGAGCAGAAGCTCTGGCTAAGAGGTGTGTGTGGGGCAGCACAGCCAGCTTGCTCAATAGACAGCCTGGCAGTGTCTGCTCCACCTCTCCTCTGGCTGTGTCTGGCTGGCCCTCTCCATGCCCGGTGACTGCAGCTGCCTCCACATCTGGTTTACAGCCCCCGAGCCCCAACTGCAGTCTGTATTGCTTCTATTATTTAACCTAAGGGAAAGACAATTTCCACCTGTCAAACAAGCAATGGTGCTAGCTCATTTTAGGGATGAAGACCCAAGGGAAAAGCAAGGCAGTGGCACTGATCCAGCATGGGCCTCTGGCTCAGCCCTCCTGCGCACCAGAGGAAAAAGAAATACGAACTTCATCCATGCTGAGAGCAGAGGACAGCATTTACAGTTGCCAGAGAGTGATCTGCTTCTTCCAGGCGACTGACAGGACTTGAGGAGAGAGGCTGCACATCCTCCTTGTTTCTAAGGAGCTTGTTATCTCTGGAGATAACAAGGGACACTGCAGTGTTCTGCTGTCTGTGATGGGATGCAGCAGGGCCGTGCCAGCTCTCTGGCTGGGAGGGGACACCAGGATGGGAGAGGGGAGAACTGCTGTGGCTCATGGACTGATAGCAGGGCTCATCCTATTTATATGGCTGTGCTTGGATCATTGACTGCATTGCCATGAATTGTCACATAGAATATCCAAAATTATGGCAAAACAAAAGATGTCCAGCTTTGGAAGGGTATCACAACCATGTGCTACAGGGATGTCAGTGCCCTGGACACCAAATGCCCCAGGTATGCTTTTCATGAGGATCAGATGTCAGCACCTCTGTCTAACAGAGTCCTCTCTCACAGCTGTTCTCTACCCCACTGTCCTCTAGAGCATCTTACGCTGGTCTCTGCCAGAGATGGGCGAAAGATTAGATGGCCTTGGGTCTGCTTCTGTCAGGGAATAAACGTGTGTGCTGCCTCCTGAAGACCAGGTCTGGACTGACTTCTGTACAACATGTATTCCATTTCAATCTGCCTCTCATGAGCAGCTGGGACAAAGTTAATCATTGTGAGAGACCTGAAGGGAACCCGAGTGGGGCAGTAGAGACATGAGTCACAAGGCAGCAGACACAAGGATTATGTGGGAGAAGCTCAGGCAGTCTTACCTTGTAAAATGTGCATATTGACCAGGTCTGATCGCTCAGGCCTGCTTCTGATCTTGTGCTTGAGATAATCTTCAGTCTGCAGAACACAAATGCAGAGAGTTACCTGGCTAGAGCAGCAATGAGGTACAGAGAGCATCTGCCCCTGTGCCATCTCATGGTTCTTTTGAATTTATTACAAGCTGGGTTGAGTAGGCTCTTAAATGGAATTATCTTTCACTCAGACACTGGCTTGTTCTTGGGTAGTTCTTCAGAAAGGGAACAATGTGCATGGAGCTGCTGTCTGTTCACTATACCCACTCCTAAGCTGTGTCCTTTCCAATCTCCCTTGAGCTTCTGATGCCTGAAGTATTATGAGAGCTCAAGGGAAGGGTGAGACCTATTCGCTGGGAGTGGTGGATCTGCTCCTAGCTTAGCATACCATGTGGCCTTTGAGAGTTGCACCAAGGCAGCTCCAGAGTGTACCATTAGCAATGGCTTCTGTGGGAAGCCTGGCACTCTGGGGTGAGATGTAAGGCTGAGCAAGTCATGAAGATACCCAGACTCTCTACCCAGGTCAGCCACAAGGCTTAGCCTTCCTGCAGTCCTGCAGCTCCTGTGTTCTGTGATTCCTCACCCCAGCTATGACGTGGGGATGGGAAAATCCACTTTACAGATCACTGCAGCAGAGCTTGTGATGAACATGGTCCTGGAGCCTTATGTCAACTTCCTAATGTCTTTAGCAACAGAAAGGCATGCAGAGGTATAATAACCATCCACTAGGGCCAAGGAAGTCAGTATTGAGGGCAGCTGACCTCAAGAATACAAATATAAGCTTATCCCCTGCTGAAGAAAAGCTAGAGCACAACTTGGACAAATTATTAGCTGTTTGCTAAATTGAGATGCAAGAAGAAATAGTACCAAAAAATGTACATAGTTCAAAGAGGTTAAAATCTTAAGGATAAATATAAAAGAACAGTACAAGCAGCTGGAGAAAAACTAGAAAACCCACAGTACAAAATGTACAGTATCATGAGAAAAAGATTTTATAAGGACTTCTGTAGCCAGGACAAGGCAATGGAAAGTGCTGTCTGTGTTCCATAAACAGGAGAAATAATTGTGAATGCTGCTGAGATGGCTACAGGATTTAATGCCTTTTTAAACCATCCTCAATAAAAAGATAAATGGCTATTTATCAATCAGATGACTAAGCCAAGAACCTTCAGCAACAAAAGAGAAGAAGCTCTAGTTATTGGGTTGGAGAACAGGTTGGAGAATACTCAGATGAGTTAAATGTTCCGAAACAGTTTGAGATACAGAATGCTATAGTAATAACAACTATCTGTGGGTCTCCAGGAAACTGGGCAAGGGAGAGCATAATTTCTTGCTTTAAAAGAGATGGAGTGAAGAAACCAGGAAATTATAAACCAGTCAGCAAGTTACTGGACCAAGTAATCAAACAATCTATAAATTGATTTTGAAGATAGCAAGCAGGTGAGTAGCAGCCAAGATGGATTCATCAAGAACAAACTATATCACATCAACCTAATTTCCTTCTATGGAGAGATGACAGATTTCTGTTACAGGAATAAAAAATGAATGTCATGTAGCTTGACTTTAAGTATGTTTTGACAATATCTCACATGGCTTTCTCATATGTAAGCAGAGAAATTTGGTCTGGATAAGACTAAAATAAAAAAAGGAGCATAGCTGTGGGTCACCAGAGGAATTAGGAATGGCTCACAGTCTAAATAGAAGAATATATCAAATCATGTTACACAGCAATTCTTCCTACTAGTCAACATATTCATTAATGCCTTGGATGATAGAAGACATACTCCTTAACTCTGAATCATTCAAGGCTAACAGATTACAATGCAGCATGATTTGGAGTAATTGAAGAAATGATCTGAAATACGTTTGATAAAATTTCAAGAGGACATTTGGAAAGGACTGCATTCAGGTCACAGTTAGCCACAGCTAAACCAGGTGATTAAGCACTGGGGTGGATGAAGACTTAGTCCACCAGAGATGCTTCTGTAGTGGTCACTGGACAGTGGCCTTAGGCAGAAATTAGTTGCTTCATAAATAGAGAAAAGATATAAAAGGATCTGGAGAATCTAGTGATCAGCAGCTGAACCACATCCCTAGACCAGCAGGCAGCTTTCTAGAAGACAAAATGAAGGATGTCAGATGGGCCCTAGGAATAGCAAAGCCCTATTCTATCCCCTGCGTTTGAAAGGGTCCATGGGAAGGGTCTGGACAACAGCTACAGAAATCATTATTGAACCAGAGATGGGATCAATGAGAAGAGACTGAAGGGAGGGGAGGTTGGTCAGTCCAGGGGTAAGATGCCTATAGGGAAACAGGATGCAAAATACTTTTTAGAAGTGCTACAAGAAAAAAGATAAACAGTTCTGCATATGCATGCATATAGGAGAAAAAGTAATGGGCTTAAACTTCAACAGAATAGCTTGGGCTGGGAATTGGGGGACACTTGCTAACAGCGCAGGTTAGAGAGCACTGGAGCACGTTGCTGGGGGGTGGGATGTCTGTCAGTGGTCTCACAACTGTCAGGAATGACCCAGATGGGGCTGTTCTGCTCTGGGGCAGAGGCATGACAGCTGTCCCCCACAGTCCCTCCCTGCCACACTTGTTGGGGTGCTGGGAGTAAGTGCTAAAGCCCTGCTGAGCCAAACTGCCTCAGGAAAGTCAGCCTGCTCTCTGTCCTCCAATCCAGCAATCTATTATAGGACATTGACTTCAAAGTCTGCTGCACTGGCTTGATGCCAGCCTCTAACATAGCCAGTGACATGTTTAAACAAATAGACATTTTATTTACTGAAGTCTTTACAATTCCTTACTCTTCCCCCCATATTTTTCCCCCAGCTTATTTTCACCAACATGATCACTTGCTTGGACCATGTGTAGGTTTGCCTGGTTCCTGTGCCAGGTCAGAGCAGGCTGGTGTCTGCACCTGAGTGCAGTTATATTCACCTAATGCATTTCCAGCTGATCCTCGGATCGGGTCCTGACCTGGGCTAAGCTTGAATTGCTGTCCTGCAGATGTGGCATTGTTCATGTTGAATCCAGCATTCACACTGCGTTAGCCTGTCTTTCTGCTATGATTTCAGTTCCCTTTGACCTTTGTTGTTTATAAGCTGCATTTGTGTCACTGGGGTGCAAATGATAGAGAAGGACTTCAGATGTGGGGATTTTTAGCATCAGCTGAAGCAGAAGAGCTTTCAAAACACATGAAAGCAGTTATTGTTATCTGCTTTCTGTTTGCAGAACTTCAGTTGGGAGGAATATGAGCTAAACAACAAATACCGTTGAGTAATTATCTGGAAACAGCCACTGGTCCTTCCCTGTCACAGCTCTAAGCAGGGCATCCTTGCAAAGGAGTATATGTTTGTTATGGGCTGTGCTCACTAGTGTCTTCATTAGCATGCTTTAAAAATGTATGCAGTTTGGGATAGACTAGATCATCCTTCCCTTTTCCCCAGGCAACTAGCCAGCGAAAGCTTTTGAAGAGAAGGACAAAGAGACAGAAATATATACTTAAACTGTAAAATATATGACACTTCAAGGATACTTTGGATTGCTTGAAATTTTGTAAGCATACTAATTTTTCAGAGTCATATTGTGTTTCTTATGCTAGCCATTTATTACCGCAGGAGAGTTGGGCAAGCGATTGGAGTGTGTTTAAGTTCAGAAGAGCACTTCTCCATATTTCACAATCATTCTTCCTTGCAAAGGTCCTTTTCCATGTGAGTGCAAGCATGTTCTGCAGATTAATGGAACAAACTCCTGTGTTCAAGAAAAACCTGCATGACTGATTGTTCCCTTTTCTGTGGACACCCCTCCAGTTTGGTCAAGACTGGATGATGGGTGCTTGGAAAACTGGTGTGAAAACCAGTGTGATTTCCCCAAAATCAGGTAAATCGCATCACAGAGTTTCGATGTGTTCTGGAAATGGCTACTTATCTTATCTCTGCCTTCAGCAATATTTAGGGAAGCCTGAGTGCAGTTAGATAATGGGGCTGGTGGGAGCCTGGCCCACTTAGCCCCTTGGATGTTATATGTCGTAATGGCCAAGCTACACTGCTGAGCTAAAAGCCAGGCTCCTGTCTGATGACAAGTGTGAGCTCCCTGGGGACTCACTCCAGGTGACAGAGGGCATCTGCATTCCTCCTGCACACTTGCTAAATAATTAGGCTCCTTCAGTCCTGGTTGCTGCTGGCCCTGCTCTAACCCCACTGACTAGAGCAGGAGTGGAGAGCAGGCAGCAGAGTGAGGAGTGGGCTGTGGACCTGGCCCGGAGAGGAAAACAGCCCTTCAGCTGGTTGGACGTCTACTGGAAGGACTGCCAATGCCATGCTGAACTACACCCTGCCCACAGTCTCTTGTAAAACCCAGGAGCTGTTGTAAAACCCCATAGCTCAGGGCACAGATGGTCCCTCTGCCCTTTTAAAACTTCCCTGCTTGGAGAAGGGTACTCCAGATAATTTGTGAACCCTGGCTTGGCCCGACCATGTCTGGAAGCAGCGGAGACACGCTGACCCTCATCCTTGGCCACAGGGCCTGAATGGAGGGTGCCAGAGGAGGGGATAGTGGTGGAAGTTGCTTTCAAACCCCACAACTCATGCAAAGCGAGCCCACGTGTTCCCTCATCGGGGTGGCTGCAGGAGTTACCTTGGCTCGCTCCAGACTTTTTCGCTGTTCATGGAATGCAGATGGGCTTTTCAGTGCTGCAACAGGAAAGAAAGAGGAGCAGTCAGCACAGGAGTGGAAGCAAGCAGCCACCAGGATATTCAGCAACAGCATTTTAATGAGTGCTATAAAAATAGTAACACACACTAGCCATTCTCTTTATTGTGCTGACTAAAAATAACCCAGGAAAGCTCTGGGAAATCCCATGCTCTCAGCCAGTCCATGGCAAGAGAGCAGGGGGGATGGAGAGTATGGGTTTGCTCAGGAGGCACATGGGGAGGGAGGGGGTGCAGGCTTTGAAACTTAGTGCTCTGTGGGACACGTCAGAGAGCAGATGAGGCTTTTCCCTGGAGTGCTTCCTACATGTCGTGAAAGGCACCACAGCCCCCAAAGACAGATCTGGGAAAAGCAACAACCTGAGAGGGGATCTCACCTGCAAGTAAAACCTGCGGGTGACTGAGGCTTGAGGCCAGCAGAAAACCAGAAAAGACCTGCCTCACTTCTTGGGGTCATGTGGGTGCAGCCTCCAGCGAGGGTATTTCAAGGCAAGGCCCCGGAACTGTGGTCCTTTGTCCCTCTTCCATCCCTGACTACCCCTCCATCTCTCACTGTGCCTTTGTCCTGTCCCCTGCCCAGAAGCACCTGTGTGACATGGGGCCTCCCTGGGCAGGCAGCTGCCCGGCCAGGTACCAGGTAGTAGACTATGCCCTCAGCATCTCCTGACACACCAAGGAGGATTAACCCAGAGGGGGGTCCCCAAAAAAGGCCAATGATCCCTGGCTCTTGGACCAGTGAACACCAGTCCGATGGAGCAGTCTGTATTGGAGTCATGGATAACCTTGCACATTTCCTTGTTTACTCTGGTTCAGTAGAAATAGGAGCAGAATTTGTATGGTGAAGTGGTTAATATTTCTCAGATTCTGCAAAAATTCTTTTCTGGCTGTGTAAGCGGGCAAAATTAACTGTTCCCATTGGGACAGGGAAGGGGAAGGTGTCCTGACCCACAAAAACAGTCTGCTACAACTCTTTGTTTGGCAAGAGGAATTCCCTTTCCGTCTTCTGAATGGGATCCAATAAGGATAGAAATTATTTTCACACAGGACATGTTATCCTCCATCAGTCTAGAGGAGGATGAAGAGAAGACTGGGGGCAGCTGGGACATGTTTGGGGGCCCTCTGAATTGGCTTTTGGTAGGCAACACCTAGGGCAATCCCCATAACCTCCAGTGAATCACAGTAAAACACAGAAGGCACATTCCTGCTCCTAACATTTGGAAAGCGAACATACAGACAAGCTAGTGTTACTGTGCCATGCTCCGGTGAGCAGCCAAAAGGACTAGTGACAGCTGGTTTAATCAGAAGCAAAATAAAATGGTGCACACAAGAAAAAAGAAGTTAGCAAGAGAGATGACTTTTACAGCCCTGCTCACTGTGAAGTACTGACATTGGGAGTGTGCTATGGGCATTGACCAAACGCCGTGCTATTCAACAGGAAAATGTTTCAGAATTTAGTCATTTACCAAGATTTTTGGAGGAATTATGTGGATGCTGCAGCTTGTATTAGTCTGCAAAACAAATAAAGACATCGCTAGCACTAGTTATTCAGACAACTTGTCAGGGGATAACATGTCAGCTTGAAATGGCTGAGGGCCTGGAGGCAACAGGGCAGAGCTGCTGTGCTTGTTGTTGATAATCTTGGAACTATTGCGTCTAAGGTTTCAGTTAGAGGATGAGGTGGTGGCTGCGTATGGCAAGAGGGTCTTTACTTCAAGCGCAGCTATTTCTGCAGCCCATCACAGTAGGGGGAACCTTGCCTTGAGGAATCCTTGATCCTGCAGGCTGCCTCCCCCTCCTTTTGGGTAGGTGAGCAGGATCTGGCTGGGGTCTGGGGCAGGTGTCTGTGCAGGTCTAGAGAGAGGGTTCATCCATGCTCAGCCCTACAGCCTGCCTTTCTGCAAGTGACACCACATGCTCTTGATTTAAAATGCTTTTCCTGGGTCTGTACCACTTTCACTAGGACAATAAAACTGCATGTGTTGCTGCATGAACTGGAAACTTCCTACTCAGCAAGCCTGAAGAATGGGGCAGGCTTTGGTCTCGCCTGCACTTCTATGCATCAGGAGCGTGGCAGTGTCTCAGCGAACCTGGATCTCCCCTTGCTTTCAGAGGATCCTCCACAGAGTCACAGGGCTGAAGGAACTCAGAGGCTGCTCTTGCCTACCAGTCTGCACCTGTCTTTATTTGCAGAGGTTTTTCAGTATTGTTGATTGTTTTGCCAGCCAGTTGTTCAATTTACAACCTGAAAACATCTGACAATCAGAGTCCAGCTTTGAACCTGAAGTCTTGTTCAATGCTACTGCTCCTGCATCCTGCTTTAGGCAGTTTCCTGCCTTCTCCAGTGATGGGGCAATCTGAAGGCTTCCCATTTCTTAGAGGAACATCTAAGGGAGTGTGAACAGAGCTCAGGTATGCAATGGCATTAATTTTTTCCAGTCAAACCAAACGCAGACTGGGCTTTGGTAAGGATATTCATCTCACTGCGCTATGCTCAGGTAACACTGGTACTTCTCCCTGCACTATTCTCTTGGATACCAAAAACCAGCCAGCTTCCTAGGACTTACTCCAGTGTTTCACACTTACTGTGCTATAGCTGCACTGCTGAACAGCTCAGCAGGCTCTGCGTATAGTCATCAACTCCCCTTCCTACAATGGTTTTCACAAGCCCTCAAATCTTTTATCCAATGCTATTCTGTTACTCTGATCTTCCATCTCTCTTTCTGGTCTCTGTATAAAATGGATCAGCTAGAAAAACAAAGTTTCTCTGTCCTGGGATTATATCAACAGAAAATGTATACAATGGGTTGAAAGCAATCCTTGTGCAAGATGTGATGTGCAATGTGGGATTAAGTGCATGCTCTAAGCCTGGTACTAAACCTGACTCTCACCATGGAGACCAGCAATGACCATCTTTTCTCTTTCCAGAAGGGCTATACTCAACCACTGTGGGTAACGGACATATGGGTTTATTTCTCGCCCTCCTCCAATGCATGTGAACAGACATCCTGTCTCAGTGCATCTCCTAGAGCCCACCTCATCTGCTGGTCCTCAGAGCCAACAGGGCATGGGAAGACTTGTTTTTCATAAGGAAAAACTGCACATGCCCAAGCAATGGGGGGAAGCTGGCTGGGGCTCCCACATATTAAATGTTAACGTCTGACTCTTCCTCCTGAGGTCAAATTCAGCAGTTAAATTCTGCAGGTTTGTTTTTATAATGGCAAAAATGCCTTTTCTTCTATTACTTTTAGCGAGTGAACTGTGCTCAAGCTTTCCCAAATGGCCTTCTTGGACAGAAACCAGACTGCAAAATGTCAGCCTAGAAGTTGGGAGTGCAAAGAAGCCATAAGTTAACAGGAAAATACCCTTCAGTTACCATCAAATAAATTTGTCTTAATATGTGGTCGGCAGCGTGTAAGGTTTCAAATGTTAGGTGCCATTTGTAAAAGTGCAGTCCCATGCACTCAGCCTTGCAGAGCAGCGTTAGGTATGCAAACCTCTCAGTTGGCACTACTGCTCCCTACATGTGCAATGGGGCGTCCTGCACCTTATTTGAGTGTGCCCACTTTTACAGAGTGGACTTAGCAGTTCAGGAGATGTTAAACATATTTTTGGCCACTGACTGTATTGCCAGTGCTTGCAATACTGTAAAAAATGTCACAGTATTTTGCTTGAAGCTCCAACTCCTGGAGTCCTGTGATTAAAATGCTTGCTCTTTGGTGGCAGGCAGCATAAAATCTGAACGCTTAAAGAAATAAACAGAAGAAAAATGGAAAGAGCATGCATTTATCAGTCTTAAAACCATGTGATCATTTTGACAGTCATGATTTTTGTCATCCTACTCAAGTTTTCTTAATGCTTGATGCTGTTAATACTGTACTGAGAAGGCGTCTGTTACTGGCTACATTGACACAATCCTCTAGGAAGGCAGCTGCATGAGAAGGGCAGAGGGATGGACAGAGTGCAGCAAGCAGTGCTAGAGCCATGCTTTTAGTAAGTTGTTGTTCTGCTGTTTAGACAAGAGCTACATCACAGTCTTTAATGTTAGCCAGAAGAGGTAAAAGTGACACAGCCTTTGGAAAGTTGTGATCTTAGCAGTGAACCCAAGGGGCCCTTGATGAGACAGAAAGGTTAATCCTCTACCTGCATCCCAGATAATCACAGATTCATACACATGGAGCCTGAGCTAGGTCAGGTTGGAGTTATCCATTAAGCAGGGCTGATGTCCCAACATCATTTCTCCGATAGTGCTACAGGTTTCATGATGCACCTGCAGGTGCAGAAGGGGCTCATTTTCTTTCACTTACTTTCTGGGCTTTAGCAACTGGCTTTCTGATGCTGAATGATTACATGATAATGCTGGCCTGGAGCTTGTCCTTCAGGCTTGAATGACAGGTTAGCAAGGATGAATGTGGTCAGAGAGGGGAAAACATGGACATAATTTGTCAGTCTGCAGCAAGAAGGTCCAGGTGGGGTTTCACTGGCTTCACGTGTACACTGAGTTCTGCCCTGTGCGGTCCTGGCTGGGCACAGGCGCAGATCTGGATATGTCTCACTCATCCAGGGGCTGCCTCTCTGCACTGGGGCCAAGGCAGTTAGCCACCTCTTCCTTTTTCCAGAGGTTCCTGGCTTTTACAGGAGGATATGATATTCTCTGCCCTTGCCTATGTGAAGAGCTTTGAGAGTCTTCTGCTTGGAGCTGGATATTTTTGTCCTGCCACAGTGACCTCTGGGACAGGGAGCTATTCACTTGAATTTTTGGATGGTGTAAGCTAAGCATCTCTCCTGACTTCAGTTTAAGCAGCAGCATTATAATCTGTGTGGCAAATGCTGGGCACCATTGTATAGCACCAGGGACCGTAGTATCTCTACAGGGCAGGAAGCAAAGTTCCCCCGGTAGCAATCTGCTCAGAGCTGAGTGGGTCTGAGCAGGCAGCTGGTGCCACACAGTGCCGCAGCATACCCAAGATGAACACAGCCCCTCTGAGCCATGAGTGGGTGAAAAAGGCAGAAAAAGATACTCACGTGGCATGATGCCTTGGTCTGCCAGCTGCTCACGGGTCCTTCTCTGCTGAAGCCGTAGCTGTAAAACTGAGAGAGAGAGAATGTCAGGAAAAGATGCAGGATTTTGCTGAGGTACTAATACATCTGTCAGAGACAATGTGTCAGGGGATCTGTGTGTGGCACAGAGATCTGGCACTGATCCCTGCTGCTGCTGGACCAGCCTTGGTGCAGCAGAGTGCTCCAAGCCGAGAAATACTGCCATGGAGGAGACACGTAGCCTGCACTGACCCAGTCCTCACTTTTGCAGATAGATAAACAGGGCAGGGCTGTTTCTGGTGCAGGCAGTGCCCTAGTGCCTGGGACGGACTGATCCCTGCCCAGCACCTGTAATAGCAGCCTCAGGTGACCATGGCTTCAGCTCAAATAGTTGCTCAGCTCTGAGCTCTGAAGCTGGGAGGTCCTCCCTTGCCCCAGCACTGTGGGTTGAGTAGAGTTTTCCAACTCCATCTCCCTCCTGAGGGCCTGGCAGCACATTTCCAGCCCTGCAAGGCTCAGCACTGGATGTAGATATATTTACTGTACCAAGGGGGATGTAGATAATGTGGTGAGGAGAGATTAGTGCCATCTCTGTATTAATCCACTGCTCCAAGGACATGCAATCTCCAGTATAACTTCTTTTGGGAAACAGTGCACTGACAGATGGGAGTGAACCACTGATCAGGGTCACTAAGTGGCTTAGCAGCATGGCCTCAGCTACAGAGCATCGATTAGGCATCTAACGAAGAAGCACCTCTCAGTATTTACAGCATGTAACGACAGCCCACCATACAACTGCAGCCTGCCTTCTGCAAGGTTACAGACCCCTGCATGGCCCAGGACTGCACAAGTTAATTCATCCCATCACTCAGGTAACCCTGCCTGTACTTTGAGTTAGTAACTTATTCTGCACTTTTGGTTTTGCAAATTTGTCTTCAAGAAGACAGACACTTGTATCACAAGGTAAAACATAAAACTCATTTCCATATTTTCCTGCTGGAAACTCAGTACAGCTTGCCATGAGGACATATATGTTTCAGGGGTCACAATATAACTGCATGCATATCCCCTGGCTACCAGCACAGCCCCAGACTGTATCCCCTTAGCTGCCCAGAGAGAGCTGGTATTGGAAGGGGAAGAGAGGGAAGAACAGCTGTTTTGTCCTCAGGAGCAACCTGCTGAGCTCTGCCAACAGCTCATGTCTACAATGCAGCTTCCCTGGGATGTGGGATGGAGCTGAATAATAATCCCTTCCAGAGAAGTCCCCAAAGCACAAGGCTTCCTGAGATGCCATTGCTTGTGACTTTTCCATGTCCTCTGTACAAACCACGTCTCACATTCAGAGCAAATGTTTAGTGAAGGCCCCACGTGGGACAATGATCTCCTGCCAAATGCCAGCACTTCTTAGGGCACCAAAGATAGATTCGTGCTGTGAGGGAAGAATGTAGCCTTCAGTACCTGGTAACATGTGTGCTGTTCCCCTTATGCCAGCGTGAAGCTGGTGGCTAGAAGTCACTGCCAAACCTTGCTGCCAGGGAATTCTGTAGCCCTCTATTGCCCCATGGCACCACCCCCAGTCGGTGCTGGTTCTGCTCACGGACACAGATTTAGATGCTTGCACTCTAGGTATCTGCATCCCCTTTGCAGGAGTCCTTGCCCTCAGGGAACCTCAAAACCAAATTAGACTGTCCATGCTTTAGGAATGCCTGTCTTTCCTCCTTGACTACAGAGGCAGTTTAATGGTAACCAGCTCTTGGTAGGTATCTTACACAGGGTGAGGTGAACCCCACTTTGTCTGTGTAGAACGTTCTCTGTGACTGGTCACAATATTGAAGAACCATGCAGAGCTTTGCACTTTCCCTGAGGAAGATATGTATCTTTATGGAATAAGTGAGCTGAGGGAGGTCAGAGACTGCTCAAGAATAAAGATTTGTAGTTCACCCAAAAATGGTTCTCTGCTCTCCTAGGTCCTGGTCCAGTGTCCTGGGCATTAGAGCATCTTGCCTTAAACTGAGGCAATTTACACACAACATGCTGTCATCAAACAGGAACTGGAGATAGCAAAGGCTTCTACAGCCACATACAACACCCTGCCAAAGACACATCAGTCTGCCCCATCTAGCTGTAAAATATCCCAAGTGAGGATGCTCCATCACTTCCCTTCACAGCTCCCACATGTGCCAAACTATTTGCACCATTTCACTCCAACTTCTGACACAGCCAGACCAAGTGATATACCACATCCACATGATCAAGGGGGATGCTATCAATCAGATGACTGTGCATTCAAAGCCCACATTCTCTGCTGCTTCTGCTTATTTTATAGGCCTTCCTAGCACACAAATAATTAACAGTTTCAGGGTGCAGTCAGCTGTCAGCCAGGCCTGTTTAAAATAAAAAGGAGATGTTACAAATTCCCTTGAAGCATAGTTTGGAAGGTGATGATGATTTCTAGTGTGGTGGCTATAAGATTCAGCATCTGCCTTGATGCAAGAAGTGCTGAAAATGTGTAGGTTTCACTGCCATAATTCTCCCTTTGCTTGGGTGCAGGAGTAGCACTCAGAAACCTAGATTTCCCAGATCCTACTGCCTTCCTGCAAACAGTGCACAATCCGAGGGAGCCTACCCTGCTGATAGACCATCACAGAGGGGACCTGATATTATTTAATGATAATTTTGTGCACGGAGAAAAGGTCTTCAAATTGTTTTTCATGCTGACAGGCATAAAGGCTGTGACCCAGCAATGACACAAGCTGTTCTGAGCATGAGACCTAACGTCTTCCATGGGTGAGTGGCTATGGGCAGACCATACACCCTCCCCCACATGGTTCATCTTGGGCCATGCTGAGCTTACAAACTTCCTGGCCCATTCTTAAGCCACAGGACAAGGAGGAAAAGTTTATCCATCCTTGTCTGTTCAGGGCACACTAACAGAAAATGTGAGGACAGACAAGTGCAAAAGCTGGCTATTTCTAGGAGCAGCCCAAGCTCAATGGTTGAAACAGTTATTTCAGCCACTGAATATTCATCCAGATCTGGACCTCCTCATGCAGTAGGATGCATGCCTTGACTCTCAAATATCATCTCTATGAAATTCCAAAGCTTGTTGCAAACCATCTGAAGAAATGTAGCTGTGGACAGTGTCAGATAGTAACACTGAACATCCCTGCAGGAAGAGGTAAAGCAGCCACTACTTTCGGCAGCCCCTAAGTCAGTGCTGCAGCTTGCAGCTTGGTGGATGCCAGCTCAAGGCTTGCACCTTTCCCTTACAACCAACAATGCTTAAAAACAGGGCTGGAGGAGCCCCTGGCACCATCCAAACAACCACCACTTAGCTGCTTCTTGAAGGGGACTTGAAATCTGTGTCTGACCCCAGCTGCATTCCTGTCCTCTTCCTTTGCCATGTGTCTGAAGGCCTAAGCTCTGAGTGCTGCCTGTGACTCAGTTCGAGGATGCTGTCACCCTCCACATATGAGAATTACTTTTTTCCCCGAATATTTTATTTTTCAAGGAAACTGCTTTGTTAAAACTTCAGAGGAACATTTATGTTACAAGGAATGATGACTGGAGCACTGATGAGACAATCTTAGTCCCACATCCCAAGCATCCTTGTTGTCTGCCTGCACCAGCTTGGACGGTGAGAAGTAACCCCAAGCGAGCAGTCATGCATACTGGTCACCCTGTGGTATCAAGCTGTGCTGGCACCATCAGCTACCTTCAGCTGAGACACAGCCTTGCTTTCAGCAACCCTTCTCCCTCCTATGGTACACCACGATGAGAAATCCCTCCCTAGATGATGTGAAGCATGTCAGAGCTATTCCAGAGATTTTGCTCGTGAACTTTTTCCATTAGAAATGCTGCTTTCTTCTATGCTAGCACCAAGTCCCATTTAGTGCTACAGTTTCCAGAAACATCCTCTGCAGTGGGGCTGTGTCACTGGTGCAGAGAAGACCTCCTGGCATCAGTCATAGCTGGCTCTGGTGTCCCAAGCTCTGAGCACTGCCCATGACTCGTAGTCATGAGTCATCCTCCTCCCTAGGAGTTGACCTCAGAGCTTTACAGAGCTAAGAAGACAGCTTGGGCCTTGCCTGACCTGGTGATGCACTGGAAAAGGCATGTTCAAATCCTCCCTCCACCCCAGAAGTAGGCAGACCTGGCTTTCTCCTTCAGTCTGTGGGGGCACTTTGAGTCCAGTGCTCAGCAGATGGTCAGGATGGGACTTTTCCCACCTGCATCAGAGCATCCCCCATGCTGGGGAGTTGCCAGAGCACTCATAGCACCATCCTCTCTCTTTGGGGAATTGCCTTTAACAGCACAGGGGGCTGAGCAGCACTGAGGCACATTGCCCAGGGAGGTGGGGGAACTGCCCTTCTCGCAGGGTTCAGCACTAGGGCAAGCAGACAAAACCACGGCTGACCTGACCTAGTGTTGGTGACAGTCTGTCTCTGAGAAGGAGGCTGTATCAGAGCCCGTCCCTTCCCACCAACACTTATATAGTGGCCAATGCAAGTTCCCTGGAAATTCTGAGGCTGCACGAGGAGTTCTCAGCATTCAGCTCAGCCTTGCAGCTGAGATGAGTTGTCCAGGTGGAGCTGCAGGTCTATTGCTGCTTCATGACTTCTGACCTGGCATCTGTCGCTATCTCTGACAGACACTCTGGGAGTGGGAGTGACTGAGGCAGAGTCCCTACTGCTTTAGGTCTTCCCAGCTCTCTTATGTGGTTTCAGGTGAAATCCCAATAACTGGTAGTTTCCTCCCTGCCTGGGCTGAGCCAGCACCTTTGCTTTGCTTGGCACAACCAGTGCAATTGCTGTGCTCTCATCTTCCTCTGAAATAAGTCACTGCTGCTACCAGAATGGATGGTCAGGCAGTTGCTTGCTGATCCCTGCACCTTGTGTGGCTCCCTGCACCAGCTGGTGCTGCTGGGCTGTGCAGTGAAGGGGACCAGCAGAAGCACAATGTTACACCAGTTTGACCCAAGTGTGTGACCATGATGGGAGTCAGCAGTTTGACAAACAAGTGAAGCTGGCACTGCCACTGAAAAAAGCAGC